CCATGATTCATGTTTTCCTTCAACTCCTTCCCTTGTCTTATCAATAACAAGAATATCATCAACAACAAGCTTACACCAGGGTGCATCCTCTTGCAAATGTCTAGCAAGCACAAAGTTGATTTTGAAAAATTAGTTTTTAAAACTTCAGCTAAATAATTACAATTTTAAAATACAAACCAATTCACCTCCCCTGTTAGGTGTGTTGTAAACTTTCATAGAGTGATTATGAACCTAAGCTAATGAGATCTAGACAAATAAATTAGCATTCCTGAAAAACTTGAAAGTTCGTTAAGGTTGGTAAGCTCTTATGAACTAGCCCGAGGCTAACCAAGAGCGGGGTGAATTGGTAGTTTTAAAAAATTCCTAAAAAACAATCAAACTTTTTTTGAATATTTTAAAACAAAAACAATCAATCACAAAAATTAATATGCGAAAAAATAAAGTTTAGGAATAACACATAAATAATACACCAGATTTTATAGTGGTTCGGTCAACTTGGCCTACGTCCACTCCCCGAAGCCTCTCCCCCAAATATTACACTAAAACTCAGTGACTCTCCTTTTGCTCTCACAGCAAGGAGGAGAAGCCTTTACAAACTCCTTTTCACCGACTCCGGTGAGGCAGATAACCTAAACTCCTTTTGCTTCCTCCTGAAGCAGACAAATAATCTTGATCTAATACTGATGAAGACCTCCCTAGAGCCAACAAGGAGCCAAGGACGACAAATGGAGAATACGACTCAAATCTTTGCTTGGAGGAACCTTTGTGAAACACCTCACAAACTCTCCCTTACAAGATTCTCTCTCTCCCAAGCTCTCCCTCTCCTTCTCTATGCTCTCTCAGGACAGGACAACAGCAAATGATACTCTCAATAATTATCAAGAGATCTTATAAAGAGGGCATTACAAATTGTACTAATTAGCAACTTACCGTCAAAGATCGTCCAGGACGATCGACAGATCGTGTCGATCGTCCTGGACGATCAGTGTATTTCAGCCCTTCCAACCAAGACGATATGGATGTGCTAGATGATTAGAACACATTGTTTGTTATGATCGTCCAGGACGATGGGTACATCATCCTATACGATTAGGTCAAAATCATACATATCGTCCAGTACATAGTTCTGAACATCCAGGATATCAATGTTGGACGATGAAGAAAAATAATGTATCGTCCAGGAAGATGTTTGGATCGTCCTATACGATTAGTTCAAAATCATTGATTATCGTCCAACACATAGTTCTGGTCGTCCAGCAGAAACATCTGGATGATGAAGAATTATAACTAATCGTCCAGCACATAATTATAGACGTCCAATTGATTCGGGAGAAGATTAAGATTTTTCAAACTTATCGTCCAGGACAATCCTACGATCGTCCAAGACGATATCATCGAGCAATCTAACATTAATTACTTTCCTTAATCTTTGACTAATTTATGCATGATTGTAATGAATCGTCCAAGACGATAAGGTATCGTCCTGTACGATTTCTAAAAATAATATCATATCTAAAAGAGTTTAACAGTTGAGTCTTTCTAATTTGAGCTTATCGTCCAGGGCGATTTGCTTAATTTGACTGGCTTGACACAGATGCCCTAATTAGGGTTTCTATTTTTAACTGATCATCCAGGACGATTTTTGATCACCCCATATGACATGATGAAAAATAGAAAACCTCTTAAACATACAAATTTCTCCCCCTGAATGTGTGTGTGCAAGATTATTTAGCATCAGGATTCACCTTATTACATCTGACTCAAAAAGGTGTAAAAGTCACTGGAATTAAAGTTACAGACTGACTCAGTCCTAATCTACCCAATATTGAGCTGGCTTGAATTGCAATTGACCTTGTGGACCTGAAAAAGTTAGTAGACCGGGCAGCAAAAATAAATGTGCAATAGTAACAATAGTAAAGAAACAGGAATGCCAAGAATGTTTGTTATCATCAAATTATAATTCTTGAATCTATATTTGCAACAAAACTGTCTACAATTGACCAGTAAGTGTAAAAAATATAATTCAAAATGCTATATAATCAAAACCATCAAAGAAGCAAAATTATTTTGTTGGCGATTCTTATAAAAATAACATTATTTTCTTTGCGAAACACATTTTTCCTAAAACCTGAATATCCAATTGAAATCCATCCCTTTGTTAATTCTTGCAAGTAACTGCTAAGGAATACTTTTAGAATATCTATAGGATGTGGTAGGATACGATAAGCATGTTAGATGGATATGCACGTAATCTCTTTACATTAAGAGCGGAGATACTAGTTCCAAGGGCGGAGGAACCAGCTTTAATTTTCAGGGGGGAAATTTTATAAGTAAAATTGTAGAGATTTTTTTTCATAAATAACTTAACAGCAAAAATTTGTTCTAGGGGCTCTGCCCCTTGACACCTATTTGTTCATATTTTTGATCGTTGTACGCTTCGCAAATATGTAGGGGGATCAAGGGGGCAGCGCCCCCTTGCGGGGTTCGACCTGCCCGATCAGGGGGTTTCCGGGGACAGCGCCCCCGGAACAAGTTTTGATTGTAAGGATATTTTTTTATTTTCTTTATTTATTTTCTTTGGAAGAATATTTCTCTTTTGATTTTTGGTTGTAAGGATATTTTTGGCTTTTTTTTTTTTACAAGTTTTGGTTGTTAGGATAATTTTAGTTCCCTAATAATAACATCTCTACACAATTTGTTTAATTATGTTGGGTAAATTGTCTAAAGATTATAGCATTTTAAAATTTTTAGGGTGGGAGCAATTGCCTAAAAATCCTTGTAATAAAGACTAAAAAATAGATGGAGATGGACAAATTGCCTAAATAATCATATAATAATTTTTATTTTTTATTTTTTGAGGGGGGGCAATTGCCCCGACTGGGCATATAGAAGATAAGCTCCTGACTGGTTCTACTTGGAATGTGCCGAAATCTTGTCTTACTCAAGGCATAGGTAATGCCCCCTTTGCTGAGTTATTGGTAATTATTATCCTCTGATAATAAAATCTGAGTTTTATACTTCGCAGGTTTTGATGCCACTGCAATGACGATATTTTGTGGGAAAACATAAAAAAATCAAACAGAATACAGGTCAAATTTTATTGGAGAAGTAAAGAAAGAGGCGGCTTCTAAATTGAACTTAAAGAACGAACTAGTTTACAAAGATATATCAAGAAAGTGTACTGTCCATACCAACCGAACCAGATTATCACATGGACAGATATCATAGACTGTTAAAAAACGGATTTGTGAAGGTAATCATTTGTAACAGCACTCCAAACGTATTGAGAAAACATAAGTAACAAACTTGAGTCATTTTAGTTTTTCCAGCATATCTTGTCAATTCTAATTTTGCTGTTAGACTTTATGATTTCATCTCCCAAGGCATGATGGTGTTGAAAACAATTGGTATTGCATCCAAGTCCGTTATGCTTGAAACTAAAGTTAAAATCCAAAACATGATATACCGTGAGAATGCATACAAGATAGAATTCGTGTATGGCACAAGAAAAAGAAACAGAAAGGAGAAGATCAAAATGAATTGTTGCAAGCCGTGCAAGTAGGAAGGCAAATTGATTCTTTCTAATAGATATGAGCATTTAACATAAATATAGACTTTCAAGGCTGGCAGCCATAGTCTCCAAGACCGTTTATAGTTTAGTTATATTCCAGGCACTGAAGACCACTTCACTAACAACTAAAGGTACACTCCTTCAAACAAAAGCCTTGCCATGCTTGTATAAAAATAAACCATAGCATACACAAGAATTTGTCTTTTGAAGCAAGCATGCAGCTCCCATACACATCCAAAACTATAACATGCTGTCACTTCAGTTATAAACAATGACGGCATCACATACTAATAGAAATCGACATAATAAAAAACTCACCTTACTATTAAAGTTTATAAGCCTTGAAGAGACAATAACTCAATTCTCAGACTAGAAATCCACAAATCTCCAGCCTTAGAATCATGCACGCACAAAATGAACCAACACAGTAGGAATGCCATATAAGGAGTGAAATTACCTACTCTAATTCAAGAATGCAGATCAATCATCCATCATCATGATAATTCATTTGGGTCAAGTTGAGTGAATCATCGTGTGAATCTAAACTAGGATCAACAAGTCATTGGATATGAATCAATTTGGACAGCCAAGCACTCAATCTTTGTCAAGTTGAGCTTGCCCAAAGCCTTAAGCAATCCAGAGCTAAAAGGTGCCAAGTTGCCCTAGATACAGCCCTATTCGGTCCGCAAAACTTGAACACTGAATTAGCCTAAAGGACCCGTGCAGCCTCACCAACTCATCAAAGCCATTCACCCACAAAACTATAACACTTTTCATTGCCTATCAATTAGGGGTTCCCACTAGGAGAAATCATCATGGGTGCTCATCCTCAATTCAAAATTCTCTCAAAGTTCTCGCTTAAGGTACAATTATGAGGCAGACTTTCCCATTATAAAGCAAGCTATAAAAAGTTGAATTATCTACTTTTCATTTAGTTTTATAATGTAGATCATCCTGCACAGTTATCTTAACCCTCACTTATAAATAGATGATCATTAATCAAATATGTGCATGAACTAAACCTTTATGCTTGGCCAAAACTCTATTCCAATAAAATCTATTTAGATTATCTGATAGATCCCCTATTAGTCCACTATAAAGCTAAAACATTAAATAAAATTATCCTAATCTCCCTTTCTCTGCTTTGAGTTCAATCAATATTTGTAATAGATTCATTGTATTTTCCACAAAAAAACATTAAATCAATTGGTTGTTACTTTCTAAAAATTTATGTGGCGAGAAGCTGCTTTTTACAACTATATTTGCTTAAGCATATATCTACACATAAATTGTAATCTTACTTTTCAAAAAAAAAGGGAAATTTAATACACCATCAATTTTCAAAAAGTTATTTTCCAACAACAATTTTACAATCACTCTTACAAAAAGTTGCAGCTGCACAAACTCTGAAGTATAGATTAATGATTACCCCATTTCTACTCGAGTAGCCTCCTGCAAGGCCTTGATTCTTGCAGTTGGCTGCCATGAGGAGCCTCACCCACACAGGGCATCCTGCCTTCTCCATCTGGTCTCGCAAAAACCTCACCGTGGGATCTGTAAATGATCCCTTGAAATCAAAATCGGTTAAAATGTTAATTGGAATCGATTGACGACGTTCAGTCAAAACTAATTAAAAAGAGAAAAGAGAGAATAGCAGCACTGAAAACCTTTAAGACTTTTCGTTATTCGATTCATACAGTCCTCGCGCGACATGCCTGAGGAGTCTTCGCTCACCTCCATGCCCATACTCGCGGCCGAGTCTGGCGGCAGATTCTTGTCCTCCATTGCTATCCTCGGTCCGTTCTCTCGACAGCAGGGAATCAAAAGGCGACCTTCCTGGTTCTGTGCTTCTCACCGCCTTGGAATGAAGCGCGGATCTCGATGGTCGAACGAACTCCGCACTCCGGATCAGGTGGACGGTGCGTGCCGCGTGCGGTTATGGTGGGTAAGGGTTCGTTTGGTTTAGTTTTTGCTTACAATAAAAAGAAGTTTTAGGATAAGATATTGCGAAAAAGAAGTTTAATAAAATGGAGTTTCAATATCATGATATGTTGTTTGAATTATATTTTTATAAGTACTTATTAATACTTGAATGTACATTTAATTTGTTTGTTTAGGAGTTTAATTATAGCTTGTTCATTATAAAAGACTAAATTATCCATATATAAAATTTAAGGTTGTGTAATTTTTTTTTATTTTACAAAAAAAAGTTTACATAAATTAATATATATGCCTTTCTAAATTTTTTAAAATTTTTTACTAACTTATAAAATTATAATATAAAAAATTTACATTATTAACTTAAAATTTATTAATTCAAAAAATTTTATATTAAAATAAAAATAATATCCAAACTGAAAAGTGAAAACATATAGATTTTTAATGTTTTTTTATATCTGTTTAAATAACTTCTTGTAGACGCTCAAAGAAGGGGAATAGGAAGAGTTGGGGGATGAGAGAGAAGCAGAAATAGAGATGATCGGAGCAGGAAAAGGGTGGTGGCGGAGATCACGGTGGCGGCGGAAGGGAGGATGGGTGGCGATTGCTCTTGTCTGATTCTCACATATTCTCCTTCCTCTTTTCTCGCTCTCCTTCTCTCCCCCTGTATCACCGCTTTTTATCTCAGACTTCACGGTCGCAGAAGCTTAGGGCTGTCGGAGGCGGCGGCGGGACAACGTCGGACACGTGATTCGGTGTGTGGAAGGTTATTTCTCGTGCGAGATGCTGAAGAAGGCGACGGTCCCGAACGTTCCTGGGTTAATTTGGACATTTGGCTTCTAAAACTGTGATTTCTTAACGAGTAAGCAGATAGAAAAGGATTGCGGAACCAACAAAGAAATGAAGTTTAATGAAAATGAATTACGGTTAAGTTTTGATTCCAAATAGTAAATACTAACTGATTTCGGCTTGTTCAAACGGAAAATGTGAAAGTTCGTTAAGGATGTTAAGCCCTATAGAATCGGCCCAAGGCTAACCAAGAGGGGGGGTGAATTGGTATTTAAAAATTTTTAGGCAAAACACGAATACAAACCAAATCACCACAAAAAAAAATGCGGAAGAAAATAAATGCGGAAGCAGTAAAAATAAGAACACAATGGTTTATAGTGGTTCGGTCAACTCGACCTACGTCCACTCTCCGAAGGCGCCCTCCAAGTATTGCACTACAATCATGACTCTCCTTTAGCCCCCACAGCTAGGTGGAGAAGCCTTTACAAACACCTATTTTTGCCACACCTGGCAAGGCAGAGAACCTTCCTCCTTTTGCTTCCTCCTGAAGCAAGCAGAGAACCTCGATCACTTGCTGGAACTTACCTCTCCCAACCCTTCCAAGAACAAGAGACTCTAAGGAAGAAGAAGTGGAACAATGCTTGGAGCAACCCTTGTGAATCCCCTCACAAGCTCCCCCTCACAAGATCCTCTCTCTCTCTCTCTCTCCCTCCCTCTCTCTCCTTTAGAGTTTCTTAGGTCAAGACAGCAGTCAAGGATGTTCAAAAATGTTGAACAAGAGCTCTTAAATAGAAGATCTTCAAAGGAGCTTATTAATTGCAAGTTGTCGACTATATCGTCCAGGACGATATTGACATCGCCCTGGCCGATCAGTACAAATCCCATGAGATCGGCCAGGGCATCGCTCTGAATGCAAACTGGACGATTGAAAATTGGCTTGATTGTCCCAGACGATATCACGATCGTCTAGGACGATCAGTTCAAATCAGAGGAAAATCGTCCAGAGCATCACCCTGAATTTGTGCTGGCCAATATTAATCGTCCAGAAGTAAATAAGGGTTTTTGAATAGATCATCATGGCTGATCCTGTGATCATCCAGGACGATGTGATCGTATCAATCATCCATAATTACTTCCTTGATTTGTCTGATTAATTAAGGCATAATTATGAATATCGTCCAGGCCGATCAAAGATCGTCTTGGCCGATTTCCAAAAATACATAATACCTTAATTGTTTATGGCGGTACTTTCTTTCTGTTTTGATCCTATCATCTTGGCCGATACACATATCATCCAGGCTGGTTTGCTAATGACGACTGCCTTAATTAAGAACCTCTGATTAGATTTTCTATTTTAAGCCAGATCGTCCTGACCGATTTGAGTAAAAATAGAAATTCTAAGTCTCTCAAGTATGTGTGTGTATGGTTACTTTACATTAGTCACACCAAAGATTACAATTGACTCAAGAGGAGAAAAATAAAATTACAGACTGACTCAACCCTAATCTACCCTATCTTGAGCTAGCTCGGATTTTCGTCTGATCTTTGGGTCCTGAAAAGTCAATAGAGAAAAAGGCAAGATTTGTTTGCTATCATCAAAATCATGATCCAAAAATAGATTTGTAACAATCTCCACCTTTTTGATGATAGGAAACACAAGTAGGAAAAAATCAGTAAAAATAGCAGTTCATTAAAATTTCAAAGTTACAAGCATCAATTTTTCCTATCACATCCTACTCCCCCTTTTATCATCACAAAAAGAGGGTTCTAGACACACATAAAGAAAAAGGAAAAAAACACAACATAAACTAAAACAAACTACAAGACAAACTACAGAAAACAGAAAACAAAAAATAAAAACTAGAAAAATGAGGGATCATAATCATCAGATGGAGGTGGTGGAGGTGGCTACTGAAAGTAGCCAACTAGTATAGTAAACTGAGCATTGAACCAGGCGATGTCCTGGTCATGCTGCTGTTGCTGGTGAGTAATGTAGCTATCAAAACGGGTACTGAAGGAACTGTTTGAGTAGAAGAGAGTTGGGAGGTTGGGAGGAGCAGGATATTGAAGTTGATATTTGGTTTTAAGGACATAGGCTATGAGGTGTCCAAAAGCCATATTGGGTTTCCTCTTATGACCTGGATCGCAGATTGTGGTTAAATGATCAATGTACCAAAAAATTAAGTCAGCAGTATTAAATTCTCTGTGAGCCATGATGTAAAAAGTAGTCAGAGAAAGTAGATGAGTGATGTGGATTCGATCCCCAGTTTTTGGAATAATGGAGGTTCGAAGGACATGCTGAATTGTCCTAGCATCTTTGACTAAAGAGCTAATCTCTCTAACATGAAAAGGTGCATTGGTCTGGCGAAGAAAATGATTTGCCGTGGACCAGTCAAAGTCATGATCTGAGACGATTATATTCAGCTTATCCCAGGTGGTGGATAGTTGCAATAGTTCAACACAGTCCTAATATGTGATTTCGACCGGGCGTCGATTCACATAGGAGGTCAGGGCTGTGAAAGTAGGATTTATGCGAAGATTTGCGAAGAATTCATGAAGAAGCTCAGAATGAAAGGGGACAGCGAGAGAAAGAATGAAACAAAGAGAAGTGTGAGCAAAGAGATTCATTACCGGATACGAAAGGTGGACAGGATTGATGACTCTGGAGACAATTATCCCACATTCTTTATATCAATGGTAAGCAGCTTCATCTTCTGCCTCTCTGAAAACGAGGGTCAATCCTAGCCCTCGAAGAACTCCTAGAAGTTTATCGGATTCGCTTCCCACCAGCCATAGAAAGAGAGAAGTAAGAAAACACAAGAGAAGAAGAAGGTTGAGGTAAAAACAATGGCTGTAATGGTCTAAATTTAAAGAAATGGCCATATCGTCCAGGCCGATTGCAGAATCATCGAGGATGATATGGTACAATAATTGCGTACAGGCCGATTGGTCAAAAAGGCGGTCCGATCGGCCGAGCCGATCAGATATAGGCCAGGCCGATTAGAGATAGGCGATCGTCCTGAGGAGTCAAGCCAGACGACCGTTGAAAAAGAAGATCATCCGGGCCGATTAGGTGTATCGTCCAGGACGATACACAATAATTGATCATATCGGCCGAAGTTAAAATGTTTTAAATCTGTGCCACGTGTATCGTCCATGATGAACAGTGGATCGGCCAGGACGATTGTCCAATAATGGATCGTCCGGGGCCGATTTTAAGGATTTAAACGTGCCGACATGTGGATGGTCCAGGACGATCCAGTGTATCGGCCAGGACGATGACCATAAATGCATCGGCCAGGACAAAAATTGTATCGACCAAGACGATCAAAAGAGATTATAATTGAGTTCGATCA